TCCCTCGCCCTCCTGCACCACCGCCCCTCCGCTTTCTCACCCCCCTCTCTTCCAGGGCCCCTCCACACCACAGCCATGGCCTGCTCCGACCTCTGCCGCCCCTGCGGACCCACCCCGCTGGCTAACAGCTGCAACGAGCCCTGTGTCAGGCAGTGCGAGGACTCCCGCGTCGTCATCCAGCCTCCCGCCGTGCTCGTCACCCTGCCAGGACCCATCCTCAGCTCCTTCCCCCAGAGCACCGCCGTCGGATCCTCCTCATCGGCTGCCGTGGGCAACGTCCTCAGCTCCCAGGGAGTGCCCGTCTCCTCCGGAGGCTTCGGCTTCGGCTACGGCTACGGCTTGGGCGGCCTGGGCTGCTTCGGCGCCAGAAGGGGCTGCTACCCCTGCTAAGGTGCATTGTCACATGAGCTTGATGTCAACGGCTCCTCCTCTCTAAGCACCAAACATGGAAGCAGTGAAGGGGCAGCCCAGGTTTCCTGGAAACATTGCCCAAGTACCTCCTCTTTTTCAGCAACTGTCTTCCTTGCATCCGCTTTCCTGCTATGTCCGCGAATCTCCTGCCACAGGCACCTTCTACAAAGCCAAAGCCCACTGGGGACCTCAGGCGGGCTGCTCCAACTGTAGGGTAGGAAGGCTGTGGTGCTTTGGAAAAGTCTACTGCCCCGAAGGGACCTCTGCTGATGGTCGCCCTACTGCACCTCAGACGACCTAGCTTTCCATTTTTTTTCTTCAATAAAGTTCTTCTGCATCCCAGTCAAAGACTATAACACTTCTTTTCTTCTCCGAAAGCTCCTTCCACTTTACCCAGCACAAAGCCAGGGCTCAACTGCCATTGCTGTAGTGGGTGGAAAAGGGATACAAGACCTCTCCTCAGAAATGCGTCACCACCAACACAGACTGGACCTGGGGGGCTTCCAGAATGTGGCACAAGCCCATTCTTGCACAAACTAAGGGGTAGATAGCACAACACTCCCCTACACACACCTCTGATGAGGTCCTTCCTGTGCCAGCACACACTTGACTAACTGTATTCCACAGCATTACTCTCCAGCTCTCCCAGCAAACAGAATCACGGGATCATTACTTTGGCAGGAACCTCTGGAGAGCAGGTGCTTCTACTCCCTCTGCGCAAGCAGGGACAGCTGCAGCAGGTTGTCCGGGTTCCACGGCCGCTCACATTTTCAGTATCTCCCAGGATGGAGCCTCTTCCACTCCTTGACCACACTCACACTGAGCAAGACTTGCTGCTTTTGCCCGTGGAATTCCATCCTTTCTCACTTGTGCCCAAGGCCTCTTGTCCTGCAAACGCGCGCTACTGAGGAGAGCCCGGCTCCCTTCACCTCATTCCCTGGCTTCAAGGATTTATAAACATTTAAGAATGAGTGTAAAGGGGAGGCAGTGGATGTACAGTTCTCAATTTTAGTAAGGTTTCCGATTCTGTCCCTCTCGGAATACGCCTACACAATTGTTCCAACTGTGATGTGAGAACGTACATGCAGCGATGGGTAAAGAACTGGCTGAACAGCAGGGCTCAAAGAGTTGTAGGGAATGGGGATACAGCTGACACCTTCTGGAGCAGGCAGGATAGATTAGAGCACTGGGCAATGATTAACGGCCAGAAATTGAAGAAGAAGAAATGGCAGATTGTGCACCTAGGAGGGAGCAATCTCTCTACGCACGTAACAGACTGGGAGAGGAGTGGCTGGAGAGCAGCCCTGCAGAAAGGGATCTGGGGGTGCTGGCTGACAGCAGGCTCCCGACGAGTCAGCAGCATAGCCTGGCAGCCAAGGGGGCAAACCGCATCCTGGGGTGCAGCCAACACAGTACAACCAGCCGGTCACAGGAGGGGATTAGCCCGCTGGATTCCCCGCTGCTGCAGCCTCACCTTGAGTATCGTGGGCAGAATTGGATCCCCCAATTTAAAAAAGGATGTTAAAGTTCTTGAAAGCAGCCAGAGCAGGGCAAGGAAGCTGATGGATGACAGGGCTGGAAAGGCAAGTCCTATAAGGAGCAGCAAAAGACTCTGTGTTCATCTAGCCTGGGGAAAAGGAAGCTGAGGGGCAGCCTCATTGCTCTCTGCTGCTTCCAGAGGACAGGACGTGGAGAGGGAGCTGCTGAGCTCTTCTCTATGAGATCCAGAGACAAGATTCATGGCAATGGGTCAAATGAACCTCCTCAATGGGAGGTTCAGACAGATAGAATGAATTATTTAGTTACAGAGCATGTGGCGAAACACTGAAAGAGGCTTCCTAGAGAGGTGGACGATGCCCCAAGTCTGACAGTGTTTAAGAGGCATTTGGACAAACAATGGCCTTAATTACATGCTCTTCCTCTTCGTCACCCCAGCAGCGAACAGGCAGTTGGACAAGATGATCACTGCACGTCCCTTCCAACTGGACTCTTCTAGTCCAGTCTTGTCTATTATGCTTCGCCAAGCCTTTGGCACGCAAACATCACCTCGAGGTTCTCAGGTGCACAGCCCCACGCAGCACGCACGCCTCCCCTTTCCCCTCCACTGCATCCAATCCCACTCTGGCCCCACAAACACTGCGCAGAGAAATGGCCTCACCCCTCGGCAATCACCCCAAAGTCAGAACCCACCTCCCCTGCCTGCCGTTCCCACTCCCCCTGGGCCTCTCCCCACACTCACCATCTCTCCCACAACTCACCAGCCTCAGCTCCACAGCCAGGCCCTGCCTCAGCACCCTCAGCAGCCAGCCAATCACAAGGCACTTAACAGCCTGCCAATCAGGGGGCAGCTGACAGGCACCAGCTGCTGCAGAAGCCCCTGGAAGCTTCCAGAAGGTGCCTGTCAGGACTCCAAAATCGACATTTCTGGTACAATAAATGGATAATCTTCACCAGACAGCCCCCAAAACAACTGCTGGGAGGGGTGGCTGTGAATGAGGGAATGAATGAGTAGAAATGCTGGCGAAAAAACAAACAAAACATCTCAAATGACAGCAGTTAGGGGACTCAGAGGGGTAAGAGGGAGGGAAAATGCCCTCATAAAATAATATCCCCCCCCAAAAAAAACTGATGCAAATAAAGGCATCCACAGACTCTGTCCGTCTTCGCTGTACTGCTGGGTGCAGTAGACACCCATGTAGGGTCCCCTGTCATTGTTCACCCTTGCTGTGGCCCCCAGACCAACTGCCTGGCACTCCCAGTGACACCACCTTCCCTCATGGTGGGGTTCTCGGGTCAGCCAGAGATGGTCCCGTGTCCCAGTCCCCTCTCGCACCGCCTTGCATGTTTCTCCTGATGCCTCCTCCTCCATGGTCAAAAACATGAGCACCCTTGCCTCCAATTCCCCTCACGAATCACCAAATTCTCATACGTCCCACCAGACACCACGCAGAGAAATGGCCTCACCCCAAGGAAAATCCCCAAGGCCCTGGCTCACCAGCCGCCCCTGCCTGCTCCTCCCACTCCCCCTCTCCTCTCGCCACACTCATGGGCTCTCCGGAAACTCACGTCTCCCTGCACGGTGACCCATGTGCAATCACAGAGTCCTTTAGCATGGAAAAAACCCTTAAGAGCATTGAGTCCAAATGTTAACCTCACACTACTAGACCGCCACTAACCATGTCCCTAAGTGTCACATCTAAACCTCTATCAAATACCACCCGGGATGGGGACTCCACCACTTCCCTGCGCAACCTTCTCCACAGCTTGATAACACTCTGGGTGCACTAATTGTTCCTCATGTCCAAATCAAAGCTCCCCGGGAACAATTGGAGGCTGTTTCCTCTTCTATCACTCATTACTAATAATAAGAGACAGACACGCACCTCCATACAACCTTCATTCAAGTAGCTGTATACAGCAATAACGTCTCCCCTCAGTCTTTGTTTTCTGGAAACAAACCACCCAAAGTTCCTTCAAGCATTCCCCATTTATTCTTCTTTTATAGTCCATTCAGCAGCTTCACTGCTCTAATTTGGATGCATCACGCCAAGGCCCACACTGTAAATTTCCCAGCCCCGGCTCGGGGGAGTGCTCCGGCGGGGCAAACCCAAGCCTTTGGGGAGCAGGGCAGGCCTCCCCACAGCACAGGGCTTGCCAGCTCTGAACCAGGGCTGCCAGGCCAACGGCCTGCTCTCGCAAACAGCCCTCCTCTGCCTGCTGGCACTGCCACCCCCAGGGACGGCCCCAAGGGGCTGCAAGCCCAAACAGGCAGCCGCCTTCCTTCCAGCCACAGCCTTACAAGCCAGAGGGGCAACAAGACACACACACAGAGCAGATAGCTGAAAGGCCAGGGCTAAAGAGAGGTTTAGCGAGCTGGCGGTGAGGTGGGGAGGGACTGAACGCCATGGCAGGGTCAATGTCTTGTGCCTGACACAACTGCAAAGAACAGACCAGATTTCCAGGGCTGTGAGGAACTGGAGACCCCATTACACAACATACCCAAAGCCACAACACACGAATGCATCCCGATGACCTCACTGTTGAGAAGCACATCTACATTTTGGCAACATCTACCAAATGCTCTGATGAACAAAAGCAACACTAAGGATTTTTCCTCTGTTACTCGCACTTAAAAGTTGCCGCCAGGGTCAGAAGGACACTTCCTCAAGAGAAGGACACGAAACAGAGGTTTGCGGGAATAGAAACACACCCCACCTCATTATTGGCGAGGTCGTGGCACACAAGAGCCGCCTGCTGCAAAATGCCGTCACGCGCAAAGGCTGTCCCGCCCCTTGGGCACCCGCATAAAAGCCGGCCCAGCGCCTCTCTCCCTCACACCCTTCTCCTGACGCCTTCTCCTCCGCGCTCAACAAGGTGAGCCTCAACCCCCTTCCCCTCCTTCTCCTGGCCTGCCTGGCCCGGCTCTTCCAGCACGCTCTGCTGGCCCCAGCCTCAGCAGCCCTCACGCCTCCCCACAGCCACGCTCCCCACAGCCCCACACCACGCCTCCCCACTCCCTCGCCCTCCTGCACCACCGCCCCTCCGCTTTCTCACCCCCCTCTCTTCCAGGGCCCCTCCACACCACAGCCATGGCCTGCTCCGACCTCTGCCGCCCCTGCGGACCCACCCCACTGGCTAACAGCTGCAACGAGCCCTGTGTCAGGCAGTGCGAGGACTCCCGTGTCGTCATCCAGCCTCCCGCCGTGCTCGTCACCCTGCCAGGACCCATCCTCAGCTCCTTCCCCCAGAGCACCGCCGTCGGATCCTCCTCATCGGCTGCCGTGGGCAACGTCCTCAGCTCCCAGGGAGTGCCCGTCTCCTCCGGAGGCTTCGGCTTCGGCTACGGCTACGGCTTGGGCGGCCTGGGCTGCTTCGGTGCCAGAAGGGGCTGCTACCCCTGCTAAGGGCCCTCACCACCACCCCTGACACCAACCACCCACACCCTGGAAGCCCCGGCATCGATTGAGGACACAGCTCCGGGATGTTGCTGGCACATGGGCTCACCCTCCATGGTTCCTCCTCTCAAGGCACCATGAAAAGAAACAGGGAAGGGGGAGCCCCGGCTGCCTGGAAACTTGGCCCACGTACCTTCTCCTGTTCTCCAACTGTCTTCTTTGCATCGCCCCTTCTGCTATGTCTGCTGCTCTCCACTGCAAACACCTTCTCACAAGCCAAAGCCCACTTGGAGCTCCAGTGAGCTACTCCTACCGCAGGGCGGGAAGACCTCAGAGATCTGGCAACATCACCTGCACAAGGGACCTCGGCTTGTGGTCGCTGTACTTCCACCACAGATCGGCTCTCTTCCACTCGGCGCTCCTGCCTTTTCCCTGTGTTTTTCCCTCAATAAAGTTCTCCTGCAAACCACCCAAACAAGCCTCCTCTTTCTTTCTTCTCCCAAGGCTCTTCCAACCTCACCCACCTAAAGCCAGGGCTCAACAGGCCATCAGAATGAGTAGAAAAGCGCTACACAACAACTCTTAGCGAGGATCTCTCCAGCAAGGACACCAACACAGACTGGAAGCGGGGGGCTTCCCGCCCATGACACAAGCCCTTCACTTGCCTGCAGAAAGGCTCGGACATGCTATGCACTTCTAGACATGCCCTTAACATAGCTTCCCCATGGCTACACACACCTGACCAACCCTTTTCCCCAGCACAACTCTCTGGTCACCACAACAAGCACAATCAAAGCAAAAAGAACCACTGGCTGCCAAGCTACCTCTGAAGATCATCTGCTTCAACCCAAGCGGCTCAAGCATGGCCAGCTCAAGCACGCTGTCAACAAACATGTCCAGTCAAGTTTTCAGTATCTCCAGGGATGGGACTTCAGCACTTCTTTACAGAAACAGTTGCACTCTTTGACCACTCTCACACTGAAAAACGATTGCCACTCTTCCAAGGGTACAGCAGGTCATTTCAGATTTCTCCATTCTCCCTTGTCCTGGTCATGCACACCCATGAGAAGAGTCTCACTGCCGTTTCCACATGCCCTCCCAGTTGGGATTTAGACACACTGATGACATCTCCCTGGCACAGCATTTCCTCCCAGATGAAAAAAGCTCTCAGCTCTCTCAGTTTCCCTCATAGCAAAGATGCTCCAGTCCCTTTAGAGTCTCAATGGCCCTGAATTCACCTCAATCCTCTAAGTCCATGTCCTTCTTCAACGGGGGAGCCTTCTATGGACACAGGACTCCATGTGAGGCCTCACCAGCCCTGCAGGGACTACAGGATCACCTCCACAAACCTCCTGGCAACGCTCTTCCCAACGCCGCTCTGGAGATACTTGGCCTCTTTTGCCGTAATGGCGCAGTGATGCCTCGCAGTCAGGTCATTCTCCACCAGCAACACAAAGCAGGGTTCAGTAAAGCTGCTTTCCAGCCTCTCTACCCCCAGCATGTCCAGATGCCCTGTGCTATTCACGCCACAGATGCAGGCCTTTGCATTTCTGCCTCTTGAACTCCCAGAGATTCCCCTCTGCCTCATTCTCCAGACTCCCTCAGAATGGCAGCACGACCATCCATTGGCTTAGGTTCTCTTCCAGATTTTGCATCATCTGACAACTTCCCTAGGCAGCACGTCGTCCCACTCCCCAAGTCACTGATGAGGATGTTGAACAGTGTTGGCCCCATGGATGCCAGTCCTGGGCTACGCCGTTTGAGACTTGCCTGCATCTGGACTTTGGGACACTCATCACAAGCCACTGCGCCCAGCCCTTCAGCCACTTTCGCAACCAATACTTTCTCAGTGTGTTTAGGAACATGCAAGGGGGGAAAGTGTCAAAGCTTAACGAAAAAAGGCGAGGTAAACACCAGCCACGGCTCTCATCCTTGTCCACCAAGAGAGTCACTTCAATATAGAGGACATGGAGGTCGCTCAACTGTGACTTCCCCTTTGTAAATCCACACCGACAGATCCGCACCAGCTTCTTGTCCTTCCTGGGACTGATAGTGCTTTCTGGGAGGATTTTCAACATCACCTGCCACAGGAGCAAGGCCAGTCTCAACAGTTTCTACTTTCCCAAATCTTCCATCCTCGTCTGCTTCAATAGATCAGGCCTATAAGCTCTCTTCCAGCCATCAGGAACTGCTCAAAAGGGAAGCCGTCTTTCTCACAGCCACAGCCTTACAAGAACGAGGGGCAGGCAACCTCGTGGATCTCAGCCAGCGGGGAAGGCCAGGCCTAAAGACACGCTTAGCAAGCTGGCATAAGGCGGGGAGGGACGGAACGTCATGGTAGGGTCAGCCCCTCGTGTCTGGCAAATCTACAAATCCCAAACCAGTCTGCCAGGGCTGCGAGGAAATGGAGACCCCTCTTCACAACACACCCAAAGCCACAACACGAATGCATCCCGATGACCTCACTTGTCGAGAAGCATATCTATATTTTGGCAACATCTAGCAAACGCTCTGAGAAAAAGAACCAACATTTATGACTTTTTCCTCTATTACTCGCACTTAAAAGTTGCCGCCAGGGTCAGAAGGACACGTCCTCAAGAGAAGTACAGAAATGGAGCGTTGCGGGAAGGGAAACACACCCCACCTCATTATTGGCGAGGTCGTGGCACACAAGAGCCGCCTGCTGCAAAATGCCGTCACGCGCAAAGGCTGTCCCGCCCCTTGGGCACCCGCATAAAAGCCGGCGCCCAGCGCCTCTCTCCCTCACACCCTTCTCCTGACGCCTTCTCCTCCGCGCTCAACAAGGTGAGCCTCAACCCCCTTCCCCTCCTTCTCCTGGCCTGCCTGGCCCGGCTCTTCCAGCACGCTCTGCTGGCCCCAGCCTCAGCAGCCCTCACGCCTCCCCGCAGCCACGCTCCCCACAGCCCCACACCACGCCTCCCCACTCCCTCGCCCTCCTGCACCACCGCCCCTCCGCTTTCTCACCCCCCTCTCTTCCAGGGCCCCTCCACACCACAGCCATGGCCTGCTCCGACCTCTGCCGCCCCTGCGGACCCACCCCGCTGGCTAACAGCTGCAACGAGCCCTGTGTCAGGCAGTGCGAGGACTCCCGCGTCGTCATCCAGCCTCCCGCCGTGCTCGTCACCCTGCCAGGACCCATCCTCAGCTCCTTCCCCCAGAGCACCGCCGTCGGATCCTCCTCATCGGCTGCCGTGGGCAACGTCCTCAGCTCCCAGGGAGTGCCCGTCTCCTCCGGAGGCTTCGGCTTCGGCTACGGCTACGGCTTGGGCGGCCTGGGCTGCTTCGGTGCCAGAAGGGGCTGCTACCCCTGCTAAGGGCCCTCACCACCACCCCTGACACCAACCACCCACACCCTGGAAGCCCCGGCATCGATTGAGGACGCAGCTCCGGGCTGTTGCCGGCACATGGGCTCGCCATCCACGGCTCCTCCTCTCTAAGCACCAAACATGGAAGCCATGAAGGGGCAGCCCAGGTTTCCTGGAAACATTGCCCAAGTACCACCTCTTTTTCTCCAACTGTCTTATTTGCATCAGCCTTCCTGCTATGTCTACTACTCTCCACTGCATACACTTTCTCACAAGCCACAGCCCACTTGGTGGCTTTGGCGGGCTGCTCTCACTGGAGGGAAGGTAGACCTCAGAGCTCTGGAACGTGTAATGCACTCAAGAGACCTCGGATGATGGTTGCCATATTTCTACATCAGACCAGCTCCCTTCCCCTCGGTGCTCCTGCATTCTCCCTGTTTTTTTCTCTCAATAAAGTCCATCTGCATCCCAGTTTCACATGCCTCCACTTCCTTTCTTCTCCCAAGGCTCTTCCAACCTCACCCAGCACAAAGCCAGGGCTCTGCAACCCATTGGCATGGGTGGAAAGGGGCTACAAGACATCACCTATCGAGTATGTCCCCAGCAACAGTAACAATAGAGACCAGCTTAGAATCATTCAGGTTGGAAGAGGCTGTTATGATCATCGAGTCCACCTGTTAACCTAACACTACCAAGTCCACCACTAAATCACGTCTGTTAACAGCACATCTACACATCATTTATATACCTCCTGGGATGGTGACTCAACAAATTTCCTGGGCAGCATGTTCTAACGCTTGGCAACCTTTTTAATGAACAAATGTTTCCTAATATCCAATCTAATCCTCCCCTGGCACAACATGAGATTGTTTCCTTTCATCCTATCACTTCTTACTTGGGAAAAGAAGCCAACATCCACGTCTCTGTCACCTCCTTTCAGGTAGCTGCAGAGATCGACAAGGGTCCCCTCAGCCTCCTGTTCTTCAGAACCACTCCAGGTCCCTCAGTGACTCTTTGTAGGACTCATTCGCTAAGCGCTTCACCAGCTTCCTTGCCCTTCTTTGGACATTCTCCAGCACCTCAATGGCTTCTTTTAGTGAGGGGCCCAAAACTGAACACGGTATTCCAGGGGCGGCCTCATCAGTAACTAAAGAACAGCGGGACGATCCCTTCCCTAGTCCTGCTGGCCACACTGCTCCTGACAAGCCAGGACACTATTGGCCTCCTTGGCCACCTGGGCACACTGCTGGCTCATACTCAGACGGTTGTTGACCAAGACTCGCAGGTTCTTTTCCATCGGGCAGCTTTCCAGCCACTCTGCCCCAAGCCTAGAGCATTGCAGGGGGGTTGTTGTGACCCAGTTGCAGGACCCAGCACTGATCCTTGTTGATCCTCATACAGTTGGCCTCGGCCCATCGATGCAGCCTGTCCAGATCCCTCTGTCAACCCTTCCTACCCTCAAGCAGATCAACACTCCCAGTCAACTTGCTGATGTCTGCAGTGTTACTGAGGGTGCACGCCATCCCCTCCGCCAGATCGCTGATAAAGCTATTAAACAAAATTGGCCCAAACACACAGCCCTGGGCAACACCACTTGTGACTGGCCACCAACTGGATTTACCTCCATTCACCACAACTCTTAGGGCACAAATATCCAGCTGGTTCTCTACCAAGCAAACAGTATGTCTAATCCAAACCACGAGCAGCTAGTTTCACCAGGAGAATGATCTGGGAAACAGCATCAAAGGCTTTACTAAATTGCAGGTAAAGAACATCCAAAGCCTCTCCTCTTATTGAGGGAGATCAGGATAGTCAAGCAGGACCTGCCTTTCATAAAACCATGCTGACTGAGCCTGATCACCTGGTTGCCCTGTAGGTGCCGAGGGAAGGCACTCAGGTTGATCTGCTCTACAACTTTGCTTGGCACTGTGGTCACACTCACAGGACTCTAGTTCCCCACATCCTCTTTCCAGCCTTTCTTGTACATGAGCCTCAATTCTGCTAATCTCCAGTCAACATGGGTGTAACTGTTTACCCCAGGAGTGCTGAGAAGTGCTTGAAAGTGGCTTGATGATGCACATCTACCAGGCCCCTCAATATGCTTGGACAGATCCAACACAGCCCCATGGACATGTGCGTGTCTAAGTGCTCTAGCAGGTCGCTAACCATCTCCATTGAACAATGAGGGCTTCATTCTGCTCCCCGCTGACCCACTTCCTGCCTCAGCAGTAATCTGGACATCACATCAAAGACAGTCACACCAAAAAAAATCTCACGGTGTGCAAGGATCCTCTGGAGATCATCTACTTCATCCCAACCTGCTCAAGCACAGCCGGCTCGAGCACGATGTCCAGCACCATGTCCACACAGGTTTTCAGTATCTCCAAGGATGGGAATTCAGCACATCTTTGCACAACCAGTTTCACTCTTTGACCACTCTCACACCGGAAAAAAGGGTTGCCTTCCCTTCCAAGGAAATGGCACATCTTTGCACCTCTGTCCATTCACCTTTGCACTATCCATGGGCACACGTAAGAAGATTCTCACTCCTCTGTCCATCTGCCCTCCAATCTGGGATTTAGACACACTGATGATATCTCCCTGGCACAGTCTTGAATCCTGCCTGATAAAACTCCCAGCTCTCTCAGCTTCCCCTCATAGCAAAGATGCTCCAGTCCATTCAGCGTCTCGTGAGAGCCCTGCACTCACCTCGTTCCATTAAGTTTACATCCCTCCTCCACAGGGGAGCCCTCAATGGACACAGGACTCCACATGGGGCCTCACCACCCCTGCAGAGAGCTCAGGATCACCTCCGCCAACCTCCTGCTAACGCTCTTCCCAACGCCATCCTGGAGATACTTGGCGTTTTTTGCCAAGACGATGTGATGATACCACAGCATCCAGCTCGTTCTCCCAACCAGCAACACAAAGCCGGGTTCAGTAAAGCTGCTTTCCAGCCTCTCTACCCCTAGCATGCCCTGCTGCCCAGCATTATTCACCACAAAGATGCAGGCCTTCGCATTTCTGCATCTTCAACTCCCAGAGATTCCCCTCTGCCTCATTCTCCAGCTACCTCTGAATGGTGGCACAACCATCCGTTGGCTTAGCCTCTCTTCCAGGTTTTGCATCATCTGACAACTTCTTTAGGCAGCATTTTGTCCCACTCCCCACGTCACTGATGAGGATGTTGAACAGTGTTGGCCCCATGGATGCCAGTCCTGGGCTATGCCATTTGAGACTTGCCTGCATCTGGACTTTGGGACACTCATCACAAGCTGCTGGACCCACCCCTTCAGCCACTTACACAACCCATACTTTCCTGGCTTGTCTAGGAATGGGCAAGGGCAGAAATAGTCAAAGGCCTCACTAAACAGGCGAGGTAAACACCAGCCACGGCTCCCTCCTCGTCCACAAAGTGAGTCACTTCAATATAGAGGACACAGATGCCGGATAAGCATGATGTCCCCTTCGTAAATCCACACTGACAGCTCTGCATCAGCTTCTTGTCCTTCCTGGGACTGGCACTGCTTTCTGGGAGGATTTTCAAGATCACTTGCCACAGGAGCAAGGCCAGCCTCACCAGCTTCTACCTTCCCGAATCTTCCTTTCCAATCTGCTTCAATACATGAGCCCTATAACCTCTCCTCCTGCCATCAGGAACTACTCCCAGGCACCATCACATTTCCAAGCTACTTGGTGTGCTCTCTCAAGGACTCCAGCCAGCTCCCGCAGCATTCATCGCTGTGACACCTCAAGCCCCCAGGACATACGTCCATCCTGTCACAAAGCAGTCCTACCTGCCAAGATTCATCTCCCTCATACACAAAGACCGTTTGAACACAAAATCCTGCAAAACACTCTCCTGGACTCAGCTGGGAAACACCTTGCCATTCCTCTAGACCTTCACCACGTGTCCACCACCACCAGGGCCTCGGCTCTGCAGCCGCGTGCTGCATGCTTGCCTCCAACTCCCCTTGGAAATCTCCAAACTCTCTTTCCATTGGACACTGCAAAGAGAAATGGCCTCAGCCTTTGGCACTCATCCCAAGGAAAGTCCCCAAAGGCCCTGGCTCACCAGCCGCCCCTTCCTGCTTCTCCCACTCCCCCTCTGCCTCTCACCACACTCATGGGCTCTCCAGAAACTCCCTTACACTTTCAGGCTGTCCCTTGTGCAATCACAGAACACTTTATTTTGGAAAAGACATTTAACATAATCAAGTCCAACAGTTAACTTCACACAACCTAGTCCGACACTAAACCATGTCTCTAAGCACCACATCTAAATGTCTATTAAATCCCTCCTGGGATGGGGACTCCACCATTTCCCTGCGCAACCTTCTCCACAGCTTGATAACACTCTGGGTGCACAAACTGTTCCTCATGTCCAATCCAAAGCTCCCCGGGCACAACTGGATGCTGTTTCCTCTTCTGTCACTCATTACTAATAATAAGAGACTGACACGCACCTCCGTACAACCTTCATTCAAGTAGTTGTACACAGCAATAACATCTCCCCTCCATCTTCCTTTTATGGAAACAAACCACCCAAAGTTCCTTCAAGCATTCCCCATTTATTCTTCTTTTATAGTCCATTCAGCAGCTTCACTGCTCTAATTTGGATGCATCACGCCAAGGCCCAGACTCTAAACTTCCCAGCCCCAGATAAGGGGAGCGCTCTGGCGAGCCAACCCAAGCCTTTGGGGAGCAGGGCAGGCCTCCCCACAGCACAGGGCTTGCCAGCTCTGAACCAGGGCTGCCAGGCCAACGGCCTGCTCTTGCAAACAGCCCTCCTCTGCCTGCTGGCACTGCCACCCCCAGGGACAGCCCCAAGGGGCTGCAAGCCCAAACAGGCAGCCGCCTTCCTCCCAGCCACAGCCTAACAAGCCAGAGGGGCAACAAGACACACACACAGTGCAGATGTCTTTTGCCCTGGCCTTTTGGCTATGTTTAGCGAGCTGGCGGTGAGGTGGGGAGGGACTGAACACCGTGGCAGGGTCAACGCCTTGTACCTGACAAAACTGCAAAGAACAGACCAGATTTCCAGGGCTGTGAGGAATTGGAGACCCCATTACACAACATACCGCAAGGCACAACACAAGACTGCATCCTGATGACCTCACTGTTGACAAGCACATCTACATTTTGGCAACATCTACCAAATGTTCTCTCAAACACAACCAAGACTGAGTCTGTTTCCTCTATTATTTGTACTTGAAACTTGCCGCCTGTGTCAGAATGACACGTCCTCAAGAAGAAGGACATGAAACTGAGCGTTGTGGGAAGGAAACACACCCCACCTCATTATTGGCGAGGTCGTGGCACACAAGAGCCGCCTGCTGCAAAATGCCGTCACGCGCAAAGGCTGTCCCGCCCCTTGGGCACCCGCATAAAAGCCGGCCCAGCGCCTCTCTCCCTCACATCCTTCTCCTGACGCCTTCTCCTCCGCGCTCAACAAGGTGAGCCTCAACCCCCTTCCCCTCCTTCTCCTGGCCTGCCTGGCCCGGCTCTTCCAGCACGCTCTGCTGGCCCCAGCCTCAGCAGCCCTCACGCCTACCCGCAGCCACGCTCCCCACAGCCCCACACCACGCCTCCCCACTCCCTCGCCCTCCTGCACCACCGCCCCTCCGCTTTCTCACCCCCCTCTCTTCCAGGGCCCCTCCACACCACAGCCATGGCCTGCTCCGACCTCTGCCGCCCCTGCGGACCCACCCCGCTGGCTAACAGCTGCAACGAGCCCTGTGTCAGGCAGTGCGAGGACTCCCGCGTCGTCATCCAGCCTCCCGCCGTGCTCGTCACCCTGCCAGGACCCATCCTCAGCTCCTTCCCCCAGAGCACCGCCGTCGGATCCTCCTCATCGGCTGCCGTGGGCAACGTCCTCAGCTCCCAGGGAGTGCCCGTCTCCTCCGGAGGCTTCGGCTTCGGCTACGGCTACGGCTTGGGCGGCCTGGGCTGCTTCAGTGCCAGAAGAGGCTGCTACCCCTGCTAAGGGCCCTCACCACCACCCCTGACACCAACCACCCACACCCTGGAAGCCACGGCATCGATTGAGGACGCAGCTCCGGGCTGTTGCTGGCACATGGGCTCACCCTCCATGGCTCCTCCTCTCAAGGCACCATGAAAAGAGACAGGGAAGGGGGAGCCCCGGCTGCCTTGAAACTTGGCCCATGTACCTCCTCCTTTTCTCCAACTGTCTTCTTTGCATCGCCTCTTCTGCTATTTCCCTTTCTCTCTGCTGCAAACAGCCTCTCACAAGCCAAAGCCCACTTGGAGCTCCAGTGAGCTACTCCTACTGCAGGGCAGGAAGACCTCAGAGATCTGACAAAATCAACTGCACAAAAGGGCTCTCGGCTTGTGGTCGCTGTACTTCCACCACAGATCGGTTCTCTTCCACTCGGCGCTCCTGCCTTTTCCCTGTGTTTTTCCCTCAATAAAGTTCTCCTGCAAACCACCCAAACAAGCCTCCTCTTTCTTTCTTCTCCCAAGGCTCTTCCAACCTCACCCACCTAAAGCCAGGGCTCAACAGGCCATCAGAATGAGTACAAAAGCGCTACACAACAACTCTTAGCGAGGATCTCTCCAGCAAGGACACCAACACAGACTGGAAGCGGGGGGCTTCCCGCCCATGGCACATGCCCTTCACTTGCCTGCAGAAAGGCTCGGACACGCTATGCACTTCTAGACATGCCCTTAACATAGCTTCCCCATGGCTACACACACCTGACCAACCCTTTTCCCCAGCATAACTCTCTGGTCACCACAACAAGCACAATCAAAGCAAAAAGAATCACTGGGTGCCAAGCTACCTCTGAAGATCATCTGCTTCAACCCAAGCGGCTCAAGCATGGCCAGCTCAAGCACGCTGTCAACAAACATGGCCAGTCAAGTTTTCGGTATCTCCAGGGATGGGACTTCAGCACTTCTTTGCAGAACCAGTTTCACACTTTGACCACTCTCACACTGAAAAAGGATTGCCACTCTTCCAAGGGTACGGCAGGTCATTTCAGATTTCTCCATTCTCCCTTGTCCTGGTCATGCACACCCATGAGAAGACTCTCACTGCCGTTTCCACCTGCCCTCCCAGTTGGGATTTAGACACACTGATGACATCTCCCCGGCACAGCATTGCCTACCAGATGAAAAAAGCTCTCAGCTCTCTCAGTTTCCCTCATAGCAAAAATGCTCCAGTCCCTTCAGAGTCTCAATGGCCCTGAATTCACCTCAGTCCTCTAAGTCCATGTCCTTCTTCAACAGGGGATACCTCAATGGACACAGGACTCCATGTGAGGCCTCAGCAGCCCTGCAGGGACTACAGGATCACCTCCACAAACCTCCTGGCAATGCTCTTCCCAACGCCGCCCTGGAGATACTTGGCCTCTTTTGACGTAATGGCGCAGTGATGCCTCGAAGTCAGGTCATTCTCCACCAGCAACACAAAGCAGGGTTCAGTAAAGCTGCTTTCCAGCCTCTCTACCCCCAGCATGTCGAGATGCCCTGTACTATTCACCACACAGATGCAGGCCTTTGCATTTCTGCCTCTTGAACTCCCAGAGATTCCCCTCTGCCTCATTCTCCAGACTCCCTCAGAATGGCAGCACGACCATCCGTTGGCTTAGGTTCTCTTCCAGATTTTGCATCATCTGACAACTTCCTTAGGCAGCACTTCGTCCCACTCCCCACGCCACTGATGAGGATGTTGAACAGTGTTGGCCCCATGGATGCCAGTCCTGGGCTACGCCATTTGAGACTTGCCTGCATCTGGACTTTGGGACACTCATCACAAGCCACTGCGCCCAGCCCTTCAGCCACTTTCGCAACCAATACTTTCTCAGTGTGTTTAGGAACATGCAAGGGGGGAAAGCGTCAAAGCTTAACAAAAAAAGGCGAGGTAAACACCAGCCACGGCTCTCATCCTTGTCCACCAAGAGAGTCACTTCAATATAGAGGACATGGAGGTCGGTCAACTGTGATTTCCCCTTTGTAAATCCACACTGACAGATCCGCACCAGCTTCTTGTCCTTCCTGGGACTGACAGTGCTTTCTGCGAGGATTTCCAACATCACCTGCCACAGGAGCAAGGCCAGTCTCAACAGTTTCTACTTTCCCAAATCTTCCATACTCGTCTGCTTCAATAGATCAGGCCTATAAGCTCTCTTCCAGCCATCAGAAACTGCTCAAAAGGGAAGCCGTCTTTCTCACAGCCACAGCCTTACAAGACCGAGGGGCAGGCAACCTCATGGATCTCAGCCAGCGGGGAAGGCCAGGCCTAAAGACACGCTTAGCAAGCTGGCATAAGGCGGGGAGGGACGGAACGTCATGGTAGGGTCAGCCCCTCGTGTCTGGCAAATCTACAAATCCCAAACCAGTCTGCCAGGGCTGCGAGGAAATGGAGACCCCTCTTCACAACACACCCAAAGCCACAACACGAATGCATCCCGATGACCTCACTGTTGACAAGCACATCTACATTTTGGCAACATCTACCAAACGCTCTGACAAAAAGAACCAACATTAATGCATTTTTCCTCTATTACTCACACTTAAAAGTTGCCGCCACGGTCAGAAGGACACGTGCTCCAGAAAAGGACATGAAATGGAGCGTTTTGGGAAGGGAAACACACCCCACCTCATTATTGGCGAGGTCGTGGCACACAAGAGCCGCCTGCTGCAAAATGCCGTCACGCGCAAAGGCTGTCCCGCCCCTTGGGCACCCGCATAAAAGCCGGCCCAGCGCCTCTCTCCCTCACACCCTTCTCCTGACGCCTTCTCCTCCGCGCTCAACAAGGTGAGCCTCAACCCCCTTCCCCTCCTTCTCCTGGCCTGCCTGGCCCGGCTCTTCCAGCACGCTCTGCTGGCCCCAGCCTCAGCAGCCCTCACGCCTCCCCGCAGCCACGCTCCCCACAGCCCCACACCACGCCTCCCCACTCCCTCGCCCTCCTGCACCACCGCCCCTCCGCTTTCTCACCCCCCTCTCTTCCAGGGCCCCTCCACACCACAGCCATGGCCTGCTCCGACCTCTGCCGCCCCTGCGGACCCACCCCGCTGGCTAACAGCTGCAACGAGCCCTGTGTCAGGCAGTGCGAGGACTCCCGCGTCGTCATCCAGCCTCCCGCCGTGCTCGTCACCCTGCCAGGACCCATCCTCAGCTCCTTCCCCCAGAGCACCGCCGTCGGATCCTCCTCATCGGCTGCCGTGGGCAACGTCCTCAGCTCCCAGGGAGTGCCCGTCTCCTCCGGAGGCTTCGGCTACGGCTACGGCTTGGGCGGCCTGGGCTGCTTCGGTGCCAGACGGGGCTGCTACCCCTGCTAAGGGCCCTCACCACCACCCCTGACACCAACCACCCACACCCTGCAAGCCACGGCATCGATTGAGGACGCAGCTCCGGGCTGTTGCCGGCACATGGGCTCGCCATCCACGGCTCCTCCTCTCTAAGCACCAAACATGGAAGCAGTGAAGGGGCAGCCCAGGTTTCCTGGAAACATTGCCCAAGTACCTCCTCTTTTTCTCCAACTGTCTTCTTTGCATCCGCCTTCCTGCTATGTCCACGACTCTCTGCCACAGGCACCTTCTACAAAGCCAAAGCTCACTGGGGACCTCAGGCGGGCTGCTCCAACTGTAGGGTAGGAAGGCTGTGGTGCTCTGGAAATGTCTACTGCCCCGAAGGTACCTCTGCTGATGGTCACCCTATTGCACCTCAGACGACCTTGCTTTCCATTTTTTTTCCTTCAATAAAGTTCTGCATCCCAGTCAATGACTATACCACATCTTTTCTTCTCCGAAATCTCTTTCAACTTTACCCAGCACAAAGCCAGGGCTCAACTGCCATTTCTGTAGTGGGTGGAAAAGGGATACAAGACCTCTCCTCGAAAATACGTCACCACCAACACAGACTGGACCTGGGGGGCTTCCAGATTGTGGCACAAGCCCATTCTTGCACAAACTAAGGGGTAGATAGCACAACACTCCCCTACACACACCTCTGATGAGGTCCTTCCTGTGCCAGCACACACTTGACTAACTGTCTTCCACAGCATTACTTTCCAGCTCTCCCAGCAAACAGAATCACGGGATCATTACTTTGGCAGGAACCTCTGGAGAGCAGGTGCTTCTACTCCCTCTGCGCAAGCAGGGACAGCTGCAGCAGGTTGTCCGGGTTCCACGGCCGCTCACATTTTCAGTATCTCCCAGGATGGAGCCTCTTCCACTCCTTGACCACGCTCACACTGAGAAAGACTTGCTGCTTTTGCCCGTGGAATTCCATCCTTTCTCACTTGTGCCCAAGGCCTCTTGTCCTGCAAACGCGCGCTACTGAGGAGAGCCCGGCTCCTTCACCTCATTCCCTGGCTTCAAGGATTTATACACATTTAAGAATGAGTGTAAAGGGGAGGCAGTGGATGTACAGTTCTCAATTTTAGTAAGGTTTCCGATTCTGGCCCTCTCGGAATACGCCTACACAATTGTTCCAACTGTGATGTGAGAACGTACATGCAGCGATGGGTAAAGAACTGGCTGAACAGCAGCGCTCAAAGAGTTGTAGGGAATGGGGATACAGCTGACACCTTGTGGAGCAGGCAGGATAGATTAGAGCACTGGGCAATGATTAACGGCCAGAAATTGAAGAAGAAGAAATGGCAGATTGTGCACCTAGGAGGGAGAAATCTCTCTACGCACGTAACAGACTGGGAGAGGAGTGGCTGGAGAGCAGCCCTGCAGAAAGGGATCTGGGGGTGCTGGCTGACAGCAGGCTCCCTACGAGTCAGCAGCATAGCCTGGCAGCCAAGGGGGCAAACCGCATCCTGGGGTGCAGCCAACACAGTACAACCAGCCGGTCACAGGAGGGGATTAGCCCGCTGGATTCCCCGCTGCTGCAGCCTCACCTTGAGTATCGTGGGCAGAATTGGATCCCTCCAATTTAAAAAAGGATGTTAAAGTTCTTGAAAGCAGCCAGAGCAGGGCAAGGAAGCTGATGGATGACAGGGCTGGAAGGCAAGTCCTATAAGGAGCAGCAAAAGACTCTGTGTTCATCTAGCCTGGAGAAAAGGAGGCTGAGGGGCAGCCTCATTGCTCTCTGCTGCTTCCAGAGGACAGGACGTGGAGAGGGAGCTGCTGAGCTCTTCTCTATGAGATCCAGAGACAAGATTCATGGCAATGGGTCAAATGAACCTCCTCAATGGGAGGTTCAGACAGATAGAATGAATTATTTAGTTACAGAGCATGTGGCGAAACACTGAAAGAGGCTTCCTAGAGAGGTGGACGATGCCCCAAGTCTGACAGTGTTTAAGAGGCATTTGGACAAACAATGGCCTTAATTACATGCTCTTCCTCTTCGTCACCCCAGCAGCGAACAGGCAGTTGGACAAGATGATCACTGCACGTCCCTTCCAACTGGACTCTTCTAGTCCAGTCTTGTCTATTATGCTTCGCCAAGCCTTTGGCACGCAAACATCACCTCGAGGT